TATCTAAGTATTTAAGACAAACATTAGGAATATAGGGGAAATCTTAACTGAAAAAGTCAAATTTAACTCTTAGAATGACTCCAGCAGATACTGATTAAGCAAAAGAGCGGAAATATTTGTTAACTATTTATTTTAGAATGCATAAGTTGAAGAAGTATCAATCTGGAAAGTATCAAAAATATCTTTTATTTTTTTAAGAGACATTGAAATGAGAACAAGTGAAAAGTTTTGATAAATATATTAAAAGGCGATATCCAGCTTTGTAGAGAATATTAAACTAGTTTTAAGACTTCTATTTTAATATTCTTAAAAACGCAATGCACTTTTCTTTTAACTTTTTATGAGATATTGCTTTACTTTTCCAAGAAAGTAGACAAAAATATATTGTATAAAGGATGTTTTTACATATTTTTTTATTTATTCGTCTTTTTATTAAAATATTTAGAATAAAGCCAGTGAATGTGAATGCTAACATTGTAACTTTTCTTTCTCCAATTGATTTTTTCGTTCAACAGTTGTCACATGAAACAGTTAAAGGGCGTGGACGTTATTAACTCTGGTATATTTATGAGTCACATGATACCTCCTGCTATTTGAGTATCAGTTTAAGCGGAATCGTTTATTAAAACTTGGCTTTGAAATAATCTCATATCTGAGAGAGAGAGAGAGAGAGAGAGAGAGAGAGAGGGAGGGAGAGCGAAGGGGGTGAAGAACTTTTGTATTGTCAGTAAACAAATTAATTCCTCTTATATCATTCATTTGAGATATATATGTGAGAGCACACAATAACACAAACATTTATGGAAAGAAAACAAAGGGTAAGTTGCTGTTGTGCAAGAAAAAAAATGAACGAGAAATAAAAAAAAGAAGAATTGCAATTTCTTAATTGTTTCAGTCATTTATTAAAAAGGATTATTAAAAAAATTCATTCTTGAAAGGTAGATATCTTCTCTAATGCATACATTGATATGCTCTTTGTTTTTCTCCTTCTCAATCTCTCTATCTCTCTATCCCCTTTTTCTTTTGCACTCTCTCTCTCTCTCTCTCTCTCTCAACATATCTAACGTCATATCAAAACTTGTATAATATTTTTACTACACAAATATAACACGCTCTTCCACTAATATACAAGAAAATAAGAAAAATGTAGATAAATGTAGCGATGTGAAAGCACGTAATTATTATCATTCTCTCTCTCGTACATTAACACACACGTCAGCATACCCGCTATCTCTCACACACATATACATATACAAACACTCACGTATTTCATCTTTTAGACTAATCTAAAATATTCCTACTCAAAACCTAGATCTGCTCCCAATTCTCTTAACTTGATTTTTAATTTTTTAGAAAACGTGAATTTCATCCAAGTTGTTAAAATTAACCTCTCCCTTCTTGCAAAATGACGCAAAAGAAGTACATAATATAGATAATACGAATCAATTAGAAATACAAATTTATTAAATTCATAAACATCTTTCACAAATTATCGTACAAACAAAGACGACAGATTTCTAATATAATCAATTTGTTTAAAATCCATTTGCATCAGATTTTATATTTATAAAACTAACCATTTAGGCTTCTGCGAGGTTTAAAATATTTTCATGTTCTTGGTTAATTCCCTGACTTAAAAGCATCCACCCGGTCATCAGTTTTGAAAACCATTCCTGAAAGATAGCCATTGTCTCAGTAACAAGCATTCTGAATATCTAAATAATAGCTGTTAATTATCTTAAAGTCGGTTGTTATTTCTTGATTTGATATTTCAAACTATATTGACTGTTGAGGCCATTCAATAATGCTGTTATCCAATTTTACTAAATATCACTTTGTTAAAAAAAAGAAGAAAAATCTAAAAATATTCTCTCGAATTGCAATGTCTAATAACCATCAATGTTGAACCGTTGCTTTCTCTCCTCCTTTCACTGAAAACTTCCCTCAATCCACCGAAGAAAATCAATGCGCAACAGGTTTCTATATTGAGCAACGCTGTGTCTGTGTGTATACGCTTCACATTCAACAGGTTGGAGCCTCGGAAAGAAGAGGATATCGCATGGCCCATGGTTCTATACGCGAAATGCTGTACAGAAACACATTTCTGTAAGGTTGGAATACAGAAAAGCACAGACATTTATATACACATGCATACAGAGAAAATAAATAAAATGAGAGGTTCAATTTATCAACAATATTAAATTAAAATTTACATTTTATGAAAACATTTGAAGACGATATTTATCATCCCTTAGCATATTCATTAATTTATTTTATAGAAATTTGTGGATTTCTTCACCACCGAAGATTTTATTCAGTAAGAGAAGCATGGATCTTTTTTTTATTTGTAAGAACAAATTACATAAAGGTTTAGAACGCACTCATACAAAACAAAACAATTAAAAAATGGAAATGGACAGTAGATCTTAGGAGATTTCGTCTTTCAAACATATTATTAATATAGGTAATTTTTTAAAAAGGCTTAAGCAACCTGATAAATTTAAGCAAAATAAACGTAGTTAATTATTAAATGTTTATAAATTGCATGAAGATAAATTAGAAACAAAATGAAGCATTATTTAACTTATTTTCTTTCGATGATTCAAATTATGAAATGAAAAATGCTCTTTGACCCAAGTAATGAAGAAAACCGGTTGAAGAATCGGTATTCTTCATAAATGGACTTAATTTTGGAATCAGTCGTTGAATTTCGCTCAATGTCGTATCAAGTAAAAGAAAGTCAGTTCGACCAGATTATAATAATCGATACTTGCAATCTCTCTCAACAGAATTCGAATGACAAAGTAATAATTCGCTTCTAACTATTTCGGTAAAGATTTAGACATATGAATACTTGCTTACATTAATCGTTTTTTTTTTTTTTGTTTTTGTTTTTTTTTCATCACACCTTCTTTTAGTCCGTGCGCGTGGAATCACGCTATAAACTTGGTCAGTGATCGCACTTTAATTGAACGGAACTGTATCTTCTTCATAAATGTAGAACTGTGCAATTTTTTGAAGTGGCGACATAAAATTAAAAATAAGAGGATTTGTTATTTTCTAGTTATTTTATCATGATCCCTGATCAAATCTCTTATAGATTATTGGTTTAGAGGTTAATGTTTAATAAGGTATGTTTTCAGTTATTTCCATTTCTTTCTTTTTAAACATTTTATTTTTTTTTAAATTTATTTTTTGTTCATAAGATGAAAAGTAAATTTGAAAGAAGTGTGAAAGTTTTTTTCCTGTAGCTTTAATAGACTCAACTCAAACGATGCAGATGTACGATCACCTAACGGAGCCAAGCGACCCGCTTTCAACAGGTTACTGATGGAAGCTATTGCTTCTAAGGTGAGCAGATATTCACACCTATCACATTCGCACAATCGATTGCTTGTCGTTGAAAAGGGATCACGAGTAGCTTTTCAGGAAAACGTTTGTTTTTTTACAAAAAAACAAATTCATAAAAAAATATCAAGAAAAATATCTTTTAATTTGAAAATTAATACGAATTAATAAAATAAATGATCCGGTGATTAATAAAAGAATAAAACGTTTTTTTTTAAAGAATTTCACGAATCAATTTATAAGTAAAACAAATAGTCACATTCTTACAACACCGAACCCAGAACATTATTTGTTCTCGACTATTACAGATTTTACAAGTAAAAGGGTTAATGAGAAAGGGTATAATCCCTGGAAGTATCTTCCATTCTTCAATTTTGTAATAAGACTTGTCTCAGGTAACAAAGAATTAAAATATCCAGTTGCCAGTCAGGTTTATATTTTTGGGCATCATCGATAAAAAAAAGCAAAAAAAAAAAAAAAAAAAAAAACAGGGAATAAATTCTCTACTTCACATGTTTTAATTCTTCTGAGAAACTGGAATCTAATCCATGTTTACGATCTAAGTCAAGTTTGATATAATTAAATTTAATAGCTAACGAAGAAATTCAGAATTTAAAATTACTGAAAATATTTAGAATTAAATATTTTTTTTATTAAACAAATAAATTCCGTCGATCCCCAAAGTCTATTTGCTTTTATTTGCGATTACAGTTCCGAAAAGTTGTTTAATGTCGAAGCTAACGAAATGAAGGCATTTTCTGCCATACCCCCACCTGTTGATGCACTTCCCAACAAGAGAACTTTTCTAGCCACTAAAAGTAGCTTTTTAATCATATATAAATAATTAAGTACGCGAAAATGGGTACTATGAGAGGACTTACAAGAAAGGAAAGTCATGGGAATCATTTTCAGTTACTTTTTTAATATAATAGACATCGGGGAAGACATTAAAAAAATCGTGAAATTCTCTAAATTAAAAGTCAGGATTCATTTAATATTTCTCTAC